ATGAAATATGCCTATAGGTATAAACACCTGTGATGCATCTTCCCTTTGACAGCCTTATGAGCGGTGGGTTTGTGGAGACTTTAAAATGTTGGCGTCTTCTCACCGCATATATAAGCATCAATAAGAGAAGACCCTGGCTGAAGATCATCTCCTTCCTGGTACAGTTTCTCTTTGAAGGAAAAGGTAGCTAAGAGATCAGACCAAGGTGAAAAGAATAAAGCCCACCCCAGCTTTGCCCTCTCGTCTGCTGTTCACATCAGCCGTATGTGGATCTTGGCGTTGTGCCTGGTCATTGTGTGTAAGCGTGCAGAAGTGTGTTTGAAACTACCTTGCTTATCAGAAAAAAAATGGCTGTTCTTTCTGCTAGCCTGTATGTCTTTCATCAATTTTACACTTTAGAGGTGAATATGTGTAGCTCAGGGTTGACCTGTGGAGGCCTTGGGGTTCTCTGACTTTGTTTCTTTTCTTGCAAATGTTTCATTACCCGGCTAATGAAACGTTTGCAAGAAAAGAACCAAGCTCAGAGAACCCCAAGGACTCCACATTTTACACTTTTAGCACTAGTTTTTGTTTTGTGAGAATTGCATGGAATGGCCATATGCTGCTGCTGGAGACGTGAGGGTGGGACAGGACAGCAAAAAGTAAGAGACCAGGGATTATGTTTCTGTTGCCAGAATCTGCAGGAAACCCCAGAGCTGTGCAACTAGGAAATCCTTACGTTCTTCCCAAATCACATACAACCTTAACCAAGTCTGTCGAAAAAAGAAGCTCTCCAAATATGTTGGATACTGTCTCCCATAATCTCCAACCAAGATACTGGCTCTGAATTAGGGGAAGTGATGCTGACATTTATGCAGGGTACCTGGTTATGGAAAGAGCTGTCCTAAATTATCAAAATGTGCATCTTCCCTTAGACAGATATGTTTCATTGATCTTGGTTTGTTGTATTGTTTTCTCTTGTGTGTTTTTTAATTCCAGGCCTATTTTATCGCTATCGTACATATCATGATTGGTTGAACCAGCCCGATCCTTCTGTTATTCCTACATGGAAGCCGCTGCTTTACAGATTGATAATGATCCCTGTCTTTGCAACTTCTTTTTTGGCTGTCTCCCACTTCTTCCCCCCTAATTATGTTGAAAGTGATGCCTTCTATGAGAGAGGACTTTGTTTTCGCCTTTTCTACATGATGCCCGTCTCCTTTGTATTCCGCATACGCAACTACATGACCTGGTATGGCGCTGAGAGTGCCTGCATTACTGCTGGCCTTGGTGCGTATCCAACCAGGGCCAATT